GTACGTACTAATACGTGCATATGATCTTTCTGAAATAGCTGGCCAAAGTTTATAAGGGCAGGGTAAGGAGGACCGGTGTCAAAACTGACAGGTGTCAAAAGTAACATCAAAGATATTAACTCCATGTTACGCTGTACTGACACGTTGCATTGCCATTTTCTAGCTTTCAAACCAACTATTTCAGACACAGCCTGTGCACGTGAAATAGATACTTGAAAATATCTCGTAAATCAAGTTAATCTCCATTAATAAACGCGTTTCAATTTTAAGGTTTTCAAAACGTGCGTGTCGTATTTTACGATGCTGATGTCACTGAGGGAATAACTCGTCGTGACTACTGGAATGCATGTACGCTTAATGGTTGAGACATTGGAGGATTTAGTTATTCTACATTTCTACATCTCTGTATTAGAAGTTATGCGAAGCGCGAAGCTAGCGCCACCTACGGCCAAGTGGGACCTACCTACTGATGCATCAGTCTGGACTGTCAAACACGTAACAAAGTCATTTTCGTTCGTCTCTGTAACAGTATCTGTAGTATGTTTATTAGATACAAGAATGAATACTTTTCCAAAATGCGCAGAAAATGTATAGCTATTGTAATATAATAAAATTTCAAAAATTGTTTCTTGAATACTCCGTGGATTGACTATCCCCTCGAAACGACAAAAGAAAAGAATAGACATGCACGACGAAAGGATGTCTCTGTGTTTCAACACAGTTTTAACCAGAGTTGCATCCTCCACTTTGTCCGCGACCTTATTTGAAACAACCGAATAATGAATATACATGCACTAACACTAATCGTATCATGACAGAGGCGTTGTAAAGTGCATAAATGAAAGGACTGTGGGATTTCACCAGTTATATGATGTATCGTTGAAAAGAAAACATCGACAAGAGCGATGATACGATTAAAATGTCAAAACATCACCAAAAGGATAGAGAATTTACCCCTGTATTACGCTCGGCTTAACCATATTTACTTGCATTTTACATTTTACTTGCAGCCAGCACGCATTACAAATTCAAATGTAGTTGTCTTTTTCACACGCCACGACTTTTATTTTAGAGATACAATAACATATTTGCTAAAACAAACGTACCACGGTAATTCTAAACACGGGTGTCAATTTCAAATAGATTGCCAAAAGTACGTAGACTGTAATTCAATACTCACAAGTAAAGAAACTTTTCACCTAATCTTTGAAAGCCTGTGGATAGCAAAGACATCTGTGCAGTAACCACTAAAAATCGTGCCTTCATCGAATGGTAAACGTATTTAGTATCGCGCCTTCGGTGTCTAAGCAATCGTGGGGAATAAAGGAATAGCGAAGAGGCGACTTGCACAGTGGCGGCGTAACTAAACGGTATAGTAGAATCTACCCCACTACAGATCCACCCGACAATCAATTTGACAGCGACGGTGTTATTAATACGTCTATTACATTGCCAGTCCTTCAAACATTCTAGGGTCTTCACGCGCCATATGCCTTACGCAGTAATTATATTTCACTTCTCTCTCCGAATGGTAATTATCTCCTTCCGTCCAGTAGATGAAATAACAGCCATGCATTATGACATCATTTTCTAATTATAAAAAAGTTCAGGCAGAAGTGAAAATTACAGGTCTCGAAAACTCAAGTGAGACGCATCGAAAGAAGCGACTTAAAGGAAAGTGTTAATATTTGAAGCCGGTAATTATGAAGCCGATTGTGGATACGTCGTTCGTCCTAAGAACGGAGAAAGTGAATACTACTCGCATGAACACGAAACAGAAAACACTCTGTCAGTCTCGTTTACATGTTTGGTACGTTCAGACAATTAATCTGTTCGTATAATATTGAATCGTTGAAACGATCGACAGAGATAGTGAAGAGTTAATTTTACGAGTATGTCTGCGAAAGGTGAGACTTATCGTATTTTAGTGAACGTCGTAGAATTGCATTCTGGCCACGAACAGATACGTATTTGTACTTGTGTCTCGAAAAGTTTCGGAACCGTGGTCGTCATGAAATGTGTTCAAAACTATTCTCTACTTCTGATATCTACTACAGCTTTCATCGATCATACATAGGTTCGTTACACTTATCAGAGTTTCAGAAGAACGAAGACTCGAAAATTATTTCCGGAGAAATTCCATATTACAGTGCACTCAGGAGGTATTTGATACTCGTAGGACAACATCCAGATCAAACGAGCCTTATTCGCAATTCTGTCCTCTATTTCTATTTATTTAATTTAGTGAGCTTGTTGGTGCCAACTGTAAGTGAAACTATATTTCGTTATACATGTTGCCAGACTATGACTCTAGATACCATGTACTATTCTCACAAACATATACAGAACAGTGAACGGTGTCGTATTACAATCTGAACGTTCTATTTGACAGTTTATAAAAATCACCACTGCGTCCCGCGATAAAGACACGGATGGGATCCTGGAATGTGTACCGGTCGTGGTTACAATAGGGATTGCATCGACAAAGATCGTAAACCTTAACGCCAACAGAGAACAAGTATATATGTAGTCGTTCTATTTGATAAAGAAATCTGACATAACGAACAAAATTAAGAAAACTAATATTACAGTTTCGAGCAATGTACGACCTTGTGGTTAAGGAGTGGCAGTCATTGAGGCAAACGGATGAACTTTATGTGTTAGATAAGGTTTCTGGTAAAGGAAATACGGTTGCTCTACTGTATAGAAGTAGGTTTACTATTACAATTTTTATTTTCACACAAGTATGGAACAAAGTTATGAAGAACTTTTCGGTTTCTATGGGTATATCGGTCTTAGGGTTAGTGTAGACTAATCAAATTTAATCCAAGAAAGTTATCCACGTATTTTTCAGGGACTTTATTAACGTTCGGATCAACTTTCATCGTGCTACCAATAATGCCTATATTTCTTGATGTCATTCTACCATTGAATGAGACTCGATCGAAAATCCAACTTTTTAGACTCGATTACTTAGTAGACGATAACGAGTATTTCTTTCCCATATATATGCACGCGATGTTGGCCGCGGTTACGGTGGTTATAATTATTTTAGCCGTAGATTCCTTCTACATGCTTCTAAGTCACCATGCTTGTGGATTATTCGCGATATGCGGGTAATTATAAACGTAATACTTTAAACACTGCATGTAGCTGAGCGCTTATAAAATATTTTAACAATGTCCGAATCTTCATGCAACAGAAATCACTGACATTATTTATGTTACAAAAAATTTGCGTTTACTTGAGCACTTGTAATCGTCGCAGGTTCCAGATCAAACGAGCTACAAAAACTAACTCTGAAGACATTCATAGCATCTCCGATGAGAGGGTCATATATCGGCAGTTTAGGAAGTGCGCGATGAGCCACAAGAAAGCAATCCAGTTTGTACTCGTTAATTACCAATGAAATAGAAGAACAGAATAACGGGCAAGTTATTTATTTCCATTAATATATTGTCTCTGTATGTTTGAAGCTTCTACGAACTCCTCGAAAATATGAATCGAAAAAGTTTCTTGTTACAAATTGGGTTCATCATGATCGGTATCAGCGTGACAGCTGTTCAAGTAAGATCAATGTTACTAATAATGAGATGTATACGAAAATGACGTACAGCAGGTTCTGCCTCCGTAGCGTGGCACAGTATTTCATTAATACATTTTTATATCAGACGATGATGAACATAGACAATAAATCCGAAGCACTCAGAATTGCCCTCTTCCTTGGGGGACAACAGTTTCACTTGTTCTTCACCTGTCTGCCAGGGCAAAGGCTCGTGGATCACAGTTTGCAACTAGGAGAGGATCTGTATGTTTCCGATGCCAAGAAACAATCATTCAGTAATCCCTAACAATTACTTCAACAATCGACTCGAGTATAACGTTCGTCGAATCTTGTAACAGGTATACTTCTGAATGGTACCAGACACCGGTGAGAATACAAAAACTACTAATCATTATGCAAATGAGGTCTGGCATACCGTGTACTCTGTCTGCGGGCGGCATGTATAACTTGAACATAGAAAACTATGGAATTGTACGTACCCATACGTGCACAGGATGTTTCTGAAATAGCTGGCCAATGTTGATAAAAACAGAGTAAGGAGGAATGGTGTCAAAACTGACAGGTGTCAAAAGTAACATCAAAGATATTAACTCCATGTTACGCTGTACTGACACGTTGCATTTCCATTTTCTAGCTTTTCAATCAACTATTTCAGACACAGCCTGTGCACGCGAAATAGATACTCGCAAATATCTCGTAATTCAAGTAATCTCTATTAATAAACGCGTTTCAATTTTAAGATTTTCAAAACGTGCATGTCGTATTTTACGATGCTGATGTCACTGAGGGAATAGCTCGTCGTGACTACTGGAATGCATCTACGCGTAATGGTTCAGACGAGTTAAATATTGCATCCATGCGTCTCTTTCGTAGTGTAGTTATATAGCCTATAGTAAATTTATGATCCAGAAGTAATTTTAATGACACTCTTAATAACATTCTTTAATAACACTGTTTAATGATATTCTTGGTGTACGTAAAAATATAATTATTACACTTTATCCAACTATTATTAGTCCTATCGATTTATTCATTCTGCAAATCAATAGCTGACGAGGCACGGATTGCTCGAATTCGCATTATTAAGTTTTAGAGATGTTGAGCTCGCTCTGTTCGTAAAGCGATCTCGACCGCACGATTATTAAAGAAGCATCTTGGCTATCGATTCTTGGAAAGTACCGCTTTGTCTGTGAATAATTCGTTGCGAAAAAGCGCGCACTCCAGAGGCGAGTCGAATGGTCCGCTCCTCGACGAAATCGCAGCAGGAAAATATCTGTAAGGCTCCAGGTTTGTTTTGTCTGTTTCATCGGATAAGCGAAAACACCCCGAGATCCCTTTACAATTTTTATTTCCAACAGAACCCGGAAGAACTCGAGCATCGCATACTGCTCGGCAACTGTCCGCGTGAAAGTAAATCATTGCAGCGTACAAAAGCATCACCTTATTCTTCGAATCTTTTGTCACGAAGTGTGTATGCCAGAAATGTGGGACAATTTCCGAAACAACTGAAAACAAGTAAAACTGACAGTTCACGTTTGTATCGTACGGTAAGAATAGTTTTACGATTATAGTAACACGGATTCTTTCGAATCAAATTGCGGACGATCGATCCAATATTATTTAAAGGAACGCTCGTTTAATGCGAACAGCTGTTCTTTGATACGTTCCATTTTTTTTTTCCATTTCTACTCATCATTCACAGAGTCAGAGTGAATTTAGAGGAAACACAATTTTCTCCAACGATTCTGCAAACTGCATATAGAACTGAAATGCGGAATACATATTCCATGACCCGTAGATAAATTGCTAAATGCATTTTATGCAATTGCACTCGCGACGTATATTCTTGCAGTTATAATCGTCGTTCCTGATGATACTCATTCGTATCATTTTATACGCAAGCACTATATTCCGAAAATATCGTTTCGTCCCGGATCTCACGAAACTTCAGCGCAATTTCGATAGCCTATCCAGTGTTAATGAAAAGTCTCGTGTCCGCCGATGTTCATCCTGCGTTCACTTGCCAGTTTCTCGGTGGGAGTGTTACCATGGTTCTCTGCAGATCTGTTCCAAGAAGCTTTTTCCATTGAAAGACAGCGCATCGAAGTGTTACCAGTAGGTGGAAAGTGACGGGCGGGGTGCGGTGGAGTGTGATCGAACAATGGAGGATACGGACTGTTTTCCTTGGAGAAAATGGAAGGAAGCAATACGACGGATGTGTATTACGTCTATTTTACGAATAATGGAAAATATACTCTCCTTGGGTGTGTTTTCTTTCCGCGCGGGAATGGACGTGCTTGTGTGCTTTCCGCGAGCCGGTTTGTTGAGTCACTCTACGTTAAAATACACATAGGACGTTATGAGGAAATTCTTATGAGACTGATATTCTGCGTGTACTGCGTGCCCTATCTAAAGCTACCCGAACCGGAATGGAATCGGTAAAATCAAACAGCGTAATTACGATTGCCAGGCACGACACGTCGACGTTACGTTCACGAGTATTATTATTACCGTTTACTGCGCAGTCAGTTTAGTATTTGTCTTAATAAGCGCGCGAAATTGATTAAATCGCGCGCTATTATTCGGATCGACGATTATCGTTATGGCGACCGACCGGCGGAAAAATCGAAACGACTCGATGCGGTTCAATAAACGCGTGGAATTGCTTGAGTCGGTTCACGGTGGTCGAGCTAATTAAATTATCAAGATAGCGGTAGCATAAACGCGAAATTTGGCGTCGTTGAGTCCTGCTTCCGATACTTGTTTCATTAGATACATTGTTGTTTATTTTTTGTACTCACTACCTTTGTTTGTGCTACAGAGAGCAACAGAGCGGAAGTAGCAAATAGACATGTCAAAAAAAAATAGCTCGAACCATGATGATCGGAGTATTCTGAGTATGCCAGGATAAATCGGGGTGTAAATTAAACAAGCAGAAAGGAATCTACGAAGCAAGGATCTTATAAACGAGGCAGCAGAGGAAGAATTCGTCTCTGTCGCGTATTTAACCAGCCAGAACGTTTGGAACAGAGGAGTAATGTGATCGAATTTATGAGCACGGTAGGAAAAACGAAGACACTAGTTTTAGATACACCGAACTAGAAAAGAGAAGCAAGGAAACTTTCTGAAATTTACAAGGAAAGAATTCGACTTATCGTATTTCAAACGAAGGTGCTTTGAATCTATTTATTGAATGTTTTCATCTTATTTTTGTTTTTCATAGAGCACATTGCCGCAGCTATTACTATCTTTAGAATTCTAGTAGAGTAAAGATTCTAGAGAGTAGTAAAGAAAATCGAATTCTATCATTCGAAAAGGAGTCGCCTTCTTTTCCTGTTCGTTTCTTTAAACGGTGATAACGCAAATAGAGCCTCAGTTGTCTGCGACTGTCCTCCGTGACTTTATTCCGCGAAGCGGTGCACTAATTGCATTTTTCGAAGAGGGAGAATGCATTTTCCGTCCGTCGCGAAAGGATGGCTCAATCGTTGGAAGGCACTTTCCCTCCGAGCTAAAAGATTTTTTTATCCAATTAATTCGTGGCTCCAGAGAACCGCGTACACCGATGAGCCTGCTCCTTTGAATGTTTTAGATGTTAAAGCGAAATAAAATGTGACCCAGCCGGGAGGTTCGTGCTCAAAGGGCAACGGGCGTTTTCTAATTTTCTTCATCAATCGGGAGTTTCGTTTCACGCATAGGTATCTTTTTAATTGAGTCGGAAAATTAGTTGATTAAAATGATATCTGAAATGGAGATTAAACGATCGTAAAAGCTAAACCGAATGAATGCTAAAGGAATATTTATGAATGAATATTTAATTTGTACCCTCTATGTCTATTGAGGAAGTTTGATTAAGGTAAATAATAGTTTTTATATTACCAAATGAATTTTTCATTATAAATATGTATATGAACAAACCATTTAATTTACCATTTAATTTCAACAAATTTCTTCAATAGACATAGAGGGTACGAATATTTATGGGTCTGACTGTATAAGCATTGGATTGGTCTGGTCCGACCAATACTGGTTCGTACTACTGAAAAATATACGTACCGCGGCTAACCTATTACGTGTCTTCACTACTGGTATGCAATCACGCGTTGATTTATATGTTTTTAATAGACGAACAATTTTACCAGATTTGAATACAAACTACGTTCAATAAATAAACCGACCAAGATCGCAACAACTAACGTTATTTATGGAATTCCGTATTCTTTCCTTTAATTGTACTCCGAAAGCAATCTTTAAAACAGTATTTTCTTGACAATCCAATTTCCTTTGGCATCGAGTAGTCGAGAGAAAATGCGACGACGAAAGGGAAAGAATTTTTTCTAAGATAATTTTGTTTAACCGGAACTTTTCTTTAAAAGCGTAATACTTTAAGATTTTCTGTAAAACGCGAGGTACTGCACGATAAGTCGTTGACGCGACTCGAATCTAACGACGTTAATGTTTTCCCTCGAAAGTAGAACGCTTAAACGCGACTCTCGATGCCTTCGCATCATTTTCCATCGAACGCATTTTGACAACGTTTAAAATATATTTGCTTTTACCCAACGAAAAAAATTCAGATCGAAAAAATGAAAACCACCCCAAGGAAAGATTACTCCGGAACAGCTATGAAACCCGTCTTCGTACTTGCGAATCTAAAGTGCCCGCGGGTCGATGAACCCAGGAATTGAACAATTCGTCGACGAACCTCAAAATCGACAGTTCAATCAACCGTGGCTTGATATCATAACAACGCTGGCTGCGACCAACGTGATCCGTAGGAAAAAAAAATTCATTCACCAGCATGTACCCTCGATGGTCAACGATATGGTCGCTATCGGAAATCACTTTAAACCCGGCATAGGATTGCGGCGTTGAGCGCGGAATGGAACGGGGACGGAGCCAATTAAGATCGTTCAATCAGCGGAAACAGAATCAAAATATACACCCGGGACGAAAGTCGCGCGGTTCGGTGGTCCGTGTAACTTCCATCGTTGAAGGCTTACGCAATTGACACATTTTCCTAGTGAAATTTTTACGAGGAACTCCATCAGGTGACGACGGAAAACGCGCCAGCCTTTTAATTGCATGCTCGCACGCAGCTGGCGTTCCCGATTACAAACTATTTCACACCGCGTTTGTCGCGTTCCGGGCGATTGAACAAAAAGCGTTACCTCTCACGCAGCTCGTGTCGCAGTTTTCGGAGCGAATCGTGAACCGTTGTTTGTAAACGCAACGATAAGTTTATTTAATCACATGGACAGTCGTTAAATGCGAGTACGAGTGCCTTTGCACAGAGACTCGCCTAAAGCAACTAGAGAATATAAGCTTTGTATTATTTGTCAGGAAGTAAAAAAATTTGACTCCATTCCTAGCTCGTACCTTTTACAAAGTTGCAATTACTTTATACGTGCAAGTTGTTTATATGAATCGGAAAGGTACTTTTATGATAAAAAGTTGAAATAAACTGGTAACAGTTTGAAAGTTAATTTGAGACCTTTCGTAACTGTATTTTCTATGAAATAACTTATTTATGACGATCGTAAGAGTTAATCCTGGAACGCTTCGATAGTTGCAAATAACTTGGGAAATGTATATACACAGTTTGCATTAGCGTAATCGACGAGAATAATTGCATAAAATATTTCCATCAAATATATAATTCGAATAAATGATTCGATGGCGTCGCACAATGTGATATTTCAGTGCTCTAGCGGGACAAGCGGTCGTTTTCGAAATGTTCCAAATGTGTTTCGACTCCGAAAATGCTTCAATTCTGAAACGTCTTTTCGTTCTCGGGGAATGAATTTTGTACAGAAAAATTCGCCGGCATTAATCTGGATTCGTAATATCTCATCGGATTGGCGAGCTTTTCGCAATTTCATCAAAGGCAGGACCGGCTAAGAAGTTTAAGTCTAGCCTTTCAATAATTCGCCAGATTCGATTGGTAAGTGCCTCTTTCTTCAGAGAAAGAGTACC